AGGCAGGTGACTGCTAAGAATTTGAGGCCAACCTGTGCTACATAATGACTTCAAGGCCAATCTGAACTTCATAGTAAGACCTTGTCTCAAAAAAAAACAAAAAATAAAAATAAATAAATAAAATAAATAAAGTGTAAAATTTTTCTGGGTTTTATTGTGTTTAGAGTTGTGCAACCATCACCAGTACCTAATTCTGAAACATTTTCATCACTGCAGAAAAAAAGGCTGTGTCTACTGCCAGTTTCTGTCCATTTCTTCTCCCCTCAGGCTCTGCCACCTACAAATCTACTTTCTGTCTCATTGATTGGCATGTTCTGTACATTTCACATAAATGGAATTGTACGTTAGGTAGACTTTTACAGCTGGCTCCCTTTACTTGGCATAAGGTTTCCAAAGTTCCCCCAAGTACTTCATTCCTTTCTTTATGAAAGAATATTCCAGCCAGATGCTACTATTAAAAAAATTATTTTATTTTATTTTATTTATTTATTTGGTACCAGGAATTGAACTCAGGACCTTGCACTTTCCAGGCAGGGGCTTGTGCCACTGAACTATGCTCCCAGCAAAAAAAATTTTTCTTAAACCAAGCGTGGTGGCACATGTCTGTAATCCCAGTACTTAGGAGGCTGAGGCAGGAGGATTAATGTGAATTTGAGACCAAACCGGGCTACATAGTGAGATCCTGTATTAATACCCTCCCCCCAAGTTGGGCCTTAAGTTTGGTGTAGAAGTAGGGAAAATTCCACAGGTGAATGAATAAAGAAACTGTGGTATTTATACATAATGGAGTACTACTCTGCCGTGAAGAAGGGTAATTTTAGTCATTTGTAGGAAAACGGGTGCACTTTGAGATCATAATACTAAGTGAAATAAATCAGACACACAACTTAAATATCACATGGTTTCTCTTATATGAGCAACCCAAAGTATAAATAATTTAAAGAGCAAAATAAAAGATAGATGATAGGAAACCAGGAGATCCCTTACAAATGAGGAGACCGAGAGATGGAGAAGAGGGAAAGGGGAAGTAAAAAGAGTTAAGCCCTACGAAGTGAGCTCAAGGCCAGCCTGAACTGCAAAGTGAGACCCTGTCTCAAAAAGACAAAAAAGTCAAAAATAAAAAAGACAAACAGAAAAAGAATTAAGTCATGTTCTATACACAGCCCCCTCCCCACAATGAATGTGGTCATTATGTACTGCAAAAGGCACTCATAAAAATTTAAAATTGGAAAGAAAAGAAGAAAAAGAGCAGAAAAAGCGTGTAAACGGTATCACTCAGTCCTCAAACGTCTCTGTGGAGCGCATGCTGTTGGCGGTTCTGAGGACATCATGAGCATGACAGAAATGTCTCTGCCCCGGGGCATTGGCACCAGGGTCGTTGAAGACAGGTAATAAACCAGGACAGAGAGATGGCGTGCTCTCAGGTGGATTTGCCTCCAAACACAAGGAGCTGGGGTGTGGGCCATGCCAGAAGCAGTGTCAAGGAGAGGGCACAGATGGAGATTAGCCTGCCTCTGCTGCCTCTGGTGGGGAAGAGGCCTCTCTGGAGGAAGCCCGGTCTGCTGGGAGGGAGCGAGCCAAGGGCAGAGGACACAGCTAGCCTGGAAGCAGAGCAAGCTAGGGGTCCCAGACAAGCAGAAAGGCCATGTGCCCAAGCCAGGGGCTACATGGTAGTGCCAGCAAGGCTGGGAGGTAGACCCAGAGGGACCAGAACACACAGTATCTTGGGCCGGGACAGAGTGGGCATGTCATTTTACCTGGATGGAAAGCTATGGATTGATGGATTGGTTGATTTGGTCGTGGTATTGTTTTTTTTGAGGTTTTTTTTTCTTTTTTTTCCGGTACCGGAAATCGAACTCATGACCTCGTGCTTGCCAGGCAGGCACTGTGCCGCTAAGCTAAATCCCCAGCCCCAGTATTGTGGATTGAACCAAGAGATAATCTACACTAAGAGACTTCCCCAGCCCTTTCTTCATCTTCTTCTTTTTTTAAATAGAAACATAGTATTTATTTATGTATGTATGTATTTATTTATTTATTTAGTCTTTTTGAGGCAGGGTCTGCCTATGTAGTTCAGGCTGGCCTTGAGCTCACTTTGTAACTCAGGCTGGTCTCGAACTCACAACGATCCTCCTGCCTCAGCCTCCCGAGTGCTGGGATTACAGGCATGCACCACCACGCCTGGCTCCCCAGCTCTTTCTTTCTTTTTTTTTTTTTTGGAACTGGAATCTAACTCAGGACTTTGCAAGCTTGCCAGGCAGGCGTTGTGCTGCTGAGCTATATCCCCAGTCCCCACTTTCCTATTTTTTATTTTGAGAAAAAGTCTTGCAAATTTGCCCAGGACAATCTCAAAGTTGTGATACTCTGTTTCCAGCTCACAAGTAGGTGGGATTAAAAGTGTGCAGCACCGTACCTGGCATGGGACACTCTAGTTTTTACTTCATTTTTGTTTTTGAGACAGGATCTCTCTGTGTAGTTCAGGCTGGCCTGGAACTCCCAGGGTGGGCCTCAGACTCATGGCGGTCCTCCTGCCTCAGCCTCACGAGTGCTGGGATTACAGGTATGCATCACCACGCCCAGCAGGAAGCTCTAGATTTTGATCAGAGAATAAATCAGCTTTGGCCTGTGGTGCATTGGACTAAGATGGAACAGTAGAGATGGCGATGAATGGACAGGTCAGATTTATATTTTAATGGTAGAGCCGAAAGGATCTGCTGATGAGGCCCAAGAAATTGAAAAATCCAGCATGTTGCCCAGTGTTTGCTAGGAGGATCGTAAGTCTAGTGCAGTTAGAACAAAGGAGAGGGGAGATCAGCCTCCTCCACCCATTTAAACTTAAACAGCAGCCTGGGGCCATTCCTTCTTCCATTGAGAGGGAGAGAATCGTATAACAATGGCCCTGGAGGTTTTGGCTCCTTGTATCCTCCGTCCTAACCTTCAGTCACTTGTACCCTATTCAGACCTTATTAAGGGCTCATGGGTATGCACTGCATCTCATACATGTAATCAAGGCCAGAGTAGATTCTGGGACAGGCATGTGTGCAGAGAGCCCCTGAAATGACTCAGCACCCTGTCAATCTTTCCTGTCCATCACACCTAGAGACTCAGTGGGAGGCACCTGGGCTGAGGGGCGTGCGTGTCCTTTCACTTCCCGGAGCCTGATCATCTGTGATAGATTTTTCCAGTGCAGAGAGAAGTAAAGCAGAATAAAATGCCTTTATTGTGGGCGCAGAGAAGACCATAGTAGTAAAGAGAGATGTGGAGCTTCTGAAGGCCTGGCATAGGGGCAAAGATTAAATAGGCCCAGGCTGGAAGTGGGGTTTAAGGGGTGGACCGTCTAACGTGGCAGACCAGGATTGGGCAGAAGCATGGGAAAAGGAAATAGAATATTAAGTGGAGAAGAGGAAGATTTTTGTTAATGACTTGGAGATCATTGGCAAGTTTTTTGGAGGGGAGGGTCCTGGGAATTGAACTCTGGACCTTGCACTTGCCACAGGTGCTGTGCCACTGAGCTATATCCCCAGTGAGTTGGAAATTATTCAAGACTTGTGGGTTTTTTTTTTTTTGGTTTTTTGGTTTTTCTCCGGTACCGGGAACTGAACTCACGACCTTGTGCTTGCCAGGCAGGCGCTTTGCCGCTGAGCTAAATCCCCAGCCCCATATTCAAGACTTTTGAAGAGGATGGGACACTGCTTTCTTTAATTCCTCTTCTCCTTCTTATCCTCCTCCTCCTCCTCCTCCTCCTCTTCCTCTTCCTTCTTCTCCTTCTCCTTTTTTTTTTTGCAGTACCAGGGATCAAACTCACAACCTTGCGCTTGCCAGGCAGGCGCTTATGCCACTGAGCTAATCCCCAGCCCTCCTCCTTTTTTGAGACAATCTCTCTATGAATTTCAGGCTGGCCTTGAACTTACTATGTAGCCCAGACTGGCCTTGAACCTTCAGTGATCCTCTGTCCTCAACCCCAAGTGCTGGGATTACAAGTGTGTACCACCGCATCTGGCTCTTTAATTGTTCTATGGACCAATTTTAGTCTGGGTGAAAAGCTCGCCAGTCCTGGATGGTGCTAGTAGATGGGCATTTTATTAGAGCACTAGACTCTTTTTTTAGCCTTTTTGAGACAGGGTTTTACTATGCAGTTCAGACTGGCCTTGAACTCACTTTGTAGCCCTGGCTGGCCTCAAATTCACAGCAATCCTCCTGTCTCAGTCTCTGGAGTGCTGGGATTACTGGTGTGCGCGACCATGTAGGACACTAGATTCTAATGCTATGGCAGTGAATCTGGGGTGAGCAGCAGATCCACACGGTGCTTTGTGGCTGACACCAGTTTTGGCTCATTTGATCTGGCCAACATCTGGCTCCTGGGTGTCTGCGTGATGGCTAGGCAGGTCTCTCGTCCAAATAACAGCACTGGAACACTGCTTGGCCAAGGGCTTGTCTCTGAAGGCTTGAGGAGCAGTATGTAGGGGGTGTTTGCCTGTTGGTTCAGGTGGTAGAAACATCACACTAGTGAGTAGCAGGTGGTCCCTACTATGGTCCCTGCTATGTACCACTGGGAATGCTTTTCCCAGGCCTGCTGGGGCCACCACGGGAAGGGCTTACGCTGGCACTGAGGCTGGAGTTCGGTGCTCAGGGCAAGCATGGACAAGCCTGAGTGGCTAGGTGAGGCACTGTCCAGAGATCCCAGGGGAAGGGAGCGGGGCTGCCCCTGGACTCCGGTGTCTGTGACAACCAAGGCTGCTGCACACCCTCTCTGCCCTGCCATGTTCTTGGGCGCCTAAGCCACCTGGGAGGTGGGGTGAGGCCCTCCCAGCCCAGGCCCGGGCCTCCTTTGTCACCGAGGGTGCGCTGGTGTAACCTGAACCGGCCTTGCTTCTATGTGGGCGGGCGTGGTTGCCTGGGCCCAGGGCCAGAGAAAGGAGCCCAACGTCAGCTCTGTCGCCGCGCTGGGTGCCAGCTCTCTGCAAACAGACTCGAGTCACGAACCCAACAGAACGTTTACCTGGGTTGTCATTGTGGCCACAGCGCTGCACAGGGCGGGGCTGCTGGCCCGGGGACCAGGCTCAGGGTTGGTCAGGGTTACCCCAGGAAACAGGCTCCCCTGGGCACAGATGGAGGCGATTAGCGGGATAGCCCGCGGGACGCTGGGAGCCTCCCCGGAAACCTGTCCTCAGGAAAGGAAGGTAGGTGGGGAGCCGGAGAAACTGCCTTTTCTCGTTTCCTTCCCCACAGTTCTTCCTCTAGAGAGACAAGCGCTATCCCCAGGCCAGGGATTCATTCCAGGAGGAGGGGCCACTGGCACAGGAGAGGGTGTGTGAGAGGAGCCACATCTTTCCAAGGGGATGGAGGAGCCCCAGGTTTCTGGTCTACCCCAATAGGGGGACCTTGCTGCAAAGATCACATGCAAAAAGGCAACAAGTTTGCGTTAACTTGGCAAACACCTGCAGAACACGAAGTTGTATGGGACACAGAATCTGTCCTCTAGGAGCCTTGAGTCTAGGGAAGTCCGCCAGAGCCTCGGCCACCTTGTTTGCTTGTGGCTGATGTACCTATGTCATGGACTGAAAGTTGTAAGAGGTTCTGTCCTGGGCACTGCTCTGCGCATGGCACTCAGTGGCAGCCTGGCCCTTTGGCAGTGCTCAGCGAAAGTTTGTTGAGAAGAAAAGTTTGAGAAAAATGCTGCAAGAGAGGTTTTGTGTCTTTATTCCTCATCATCACATCTCAGAGCCTGGGGCCAGGGATATAGCTCAGCCGTGCAGCGCCCGCCTGGCAAGCGCAAGGTCCTGAATTCGATTCCTAGTACCAAAAAAAATTTTTTTTAAATCTTAGAGCCTGGAGCATAGTGGTTGCTTCATCAACATCAACTGAAAGAAAAACTTAGAGAATAACCAATGAATAAACGAATGAGTGAAGCTACAGGGAGGTGAAGAAAGAATAATGAGGTCCTGCTGGAGAGAGGGAGGTGAGAACAGAAAAGAAAGACCTGGTGTTTGAAAGCTTCCTGCTGGGAGAGATTTTGAAGGAGGTGAAAGAGCACCTTGAGTAGCAAAATGAATTTAAAAAATATCTAAGCCCGTGCCTGGCCTGGTGCGTGTCACCCACCTGTGTTCCCGGCACTCTGGGAGGCCAAGATAGGAAGATGGAAGTCTGAGCCCGGCCTGGGCACTTTAGCAACTTAGGCAGACTTTCCCACAAAATGAAATAATAAAGGGACTGGGGACGCACCCGTGTGAAGGCCCTGGGCTCACTCCCCGTTACTCAACAACACAAATCTGACCCCGGAGCCCGGGCTGTGGGGCCCACTGCACATCTGACCCTTGCCGTTGGTGGCTTGTGGAACCGTTCTTGCCAAGGTTTGGCGTCACCAGGGAAACCTGAAGCGCTGGAAGTGAGGAGGCGCAGGACTAGGACCCTTCACATTGTAGCTGACCTGAGTCACCACTGCCTTCCCACAAGGACCTCAGCTCGGACGCAGGCCCTTGGTCACCCCCGCTGCCCACCAGAAGTGCTCTTCACTCTCCCCTGTGGCCTGGGCAGGCAGTGCTCGGCCTACTGTGCGTATGTTCAGTCATTAGGACGCTCAAGAAAGTTGACCTGCCCCAGCCTTTCTCAGAAAGCTACTGCAAGATGTACCCCGGCAAAACCAGGGACCGAAGCCATTTTGATTTTGATCATTTGGATTTGCTCTTGCTCTCTTTTTCTGTCAGACTGCAGACTTTCTTTATTCTTAGTGTCCTGAAAGTTAATTATGCTGTCCCTGAGTATATTTCTACTTTCAGACACTGTCCTGGGTGCTTGATGGACCCTTTCAACTTGAAACTCAAGGATAATTCAGTTTAGTTTTGGGAAATGTTATTTTTCTTTTCTTTTTGTCTTTGTTTTTTTTTTTGGTTTTTCTCCGGTACCAGGAACCGAACTCACAACCTTGCGCTTGCCAGGCAGGCGCTTTTGCCGCTGAGCTAAATCCCCAGCCCCTCTTTTTGTCTTTGTTGAGACAGAGTCTCGCTATGCAGCTCAGGCTGATCTTGAATTCACTTTGTAGCCCAGACTGGTCTCGAATTTGCAGTGATCCTCCTGCCTCAGCCTCCTAAGTGCTGGGTTTACAGATATGAGCCACCACACCTAGCTGACATTGAAAGTCTTTTTTTTTTTTTTTTTCCTGGTACCAAGAATCAAACTGAGGACCTTGTGCTTGCCAGGCAGGCGCTTATGCCACTGAGCTATATTCCTGGCCAACGCTGAGAGTCTTATAGCTGCCTCAATATCCTAATTTGATTCAAAATATTTACATTTCATGGTCATTTTGAAGTTTCACGGTGCCAGATCTGGTGAATAGAGTGGATGAGAACATGCTGTCATGTTCTTATGAGTCTGCCTTTCCATTGGATGGCACTCTGCAGCAGCATTCACTGTTGTTTTGGTTTGGTTTTTTAGTTTTTTTCTGGTACCAGGAATTGAACTCACGACCTCGTGCTTGCCAGGCAGGCACTGTGCTGCTGAGCTAAATTCCCAGCCACCTCACTGTTGTTTTGTTTCCCTATACAGCTCAGGCTGGCCTTGAACTCACAGCGATCCTCCTGCCTCAGCTTCTGACTGCTGGGATTACAGGAGTGTGCCACCTCCCCCCACCATTTTGTTTTGCCTTTTTTTTTTTTATCTTTTTGAGACAGGGTCTCCAGCACTTGGAAGGCTGAGGCAGGAGGATCATTATGAGTTCAAGGCCAGCCTGGGCTACAAAGTGAACTGAAGGCCAGCCTGAACTGCATAGCAAGACTCTGCCTCAAAAACAAAAAACAAAAAACAAAAAACAAAAAACAAAAAAACAAACAAACAAAAAGAGACAGGGTCTCAACTTTGCAGTTCAGGTTGGCCTTGAGCTTGCTTTGTAGCCCAGGCTAATCTAGAACTTGCAACAATCCTCCTGCCTCAACCTCCCAAATGTTGGGATTATAGGCATGAGCCACCACACCCAGTTCGCGTTTTGTTTTTCAGACAGGTTCTTTCTATGTAGTAGAGGCTGGCCTTGAACTCATGGGGATCCTCTTACCTCAGCCTTCTGAGTGCTGGGATCATAGGTATGTAACACCATGCCCAGCTATTCACTGTATTTTTTACCACACCTCATTGGTTTGTTTTGTTTGTTTATTTGTTTGTTTTTTGTTTTTTTTTCCAGTACCGGGAATCGAACTCATGATCTTGCGCTTGCCAGGCAGGCACTATGCCACTGAGCTAAATCCCCAGCCCCATACCACACCTCATAAACACAGTCATAAAAGAGGACTTCCAGAACTGCTACTGAAAGAGGCAAGAAGCCAGGCATGATGGCACACATCTGAAATCCCAACACTCAAGAGGCTGAGGCAGGAGGATTGCTGTGCGTTCCAGGCTAGCCTGGGCTACGAAGTGAGTTCAAGTTCAGCCTGAACTGCACAGTGAAACCCTGTCTCATAAAGACAGAGGAAGGAGCCGGGGGTAGTGGTGTACCCTGTAATCGCAGCACTCGGGAGGCTGAGGCAGGAGCATTATTTCAAGTTTGAGACCAGCCTGAGCTACAAAGTGTGCTCAAGTCCATTGTGAACTGCATAGAGATCCTGTCTCAAAAAAAAAAAAGACAGAAAGGAGGAAGGGAGGAAAGAAAGAAAAAAAGAAAAAGAGAGAGAGAGAGAAAGAAAGAAAGAAAGAAAGAAAGAAAGAAAGAAAGAAAGAAAGAAAGAAAGAAAGAAAGAAAGAAAGAAAAAGGGGCAAAAATGATGGGGCAAGTGTACCTGAAAGGAGGGAGATGTTTTGAGCTGGATTGTTGGCTACGTGTATTGTACTGTAATACATTTTTAAAATTTAAACATTTGCCACGTATTTTGATCCCCTCTTATAGATGACATTGAACATGGTGTCTCAGGGACATAGATGCGCATCAGAGAAGCCTGTACTGCTAGGAGAAATGAAGGAAGCCTGGAGGGAAGAGAGCAGTGTTCGCAATAGAAAGCCACAGCCTGCCCGTTCTGGAGCTGAGCTCGCCGTCCCTGCTCTGCAGATGAGGAGGACGCCCAGCCTGAGCCCCACTGACTCACAGCCGTGGCCCTCCCCGGATTGTCCTTCCTCGAGTCAGGGCAGCCAGCAGGAAGAGGAGTCACCGGCTCGCAGCAGTGACTGACCCTGGTCGTCATCCCTGGGCTGGGCTGCGGTCACCCATGAGGAAGGACAGAAACCCATCTGGGACCCTGAAGAGTGCCCCTCTGTGTCCCTGCCCAGCGCAGGGATGGGTGCATAAGCGCTGTAACCCCAACCTGAGAAGGGCACGGTCAGCCTCTCCGGGGTCACCGCACCCGGAGAGCGTCCGTGGCCAGCTCGGTGCGGCTGGGGCCAGGAGCCGAGATCCGCGGTCACAGTGAGAGGGTGAGCACCTGGCCGCCCCCAGAGCTGACCAGCAGTGCCGAGGCCTGCGGTGTGTCCCCCCGCCTCTGCCTTCTGTGGGTCGCATGGAAGACAGGCCAGGAGTGAACCTGAATGGGCGGGTAACACAGAGCGGACTACAGAGGACAGGGGCTCACCAGGGCCACTCATTCCTGGGCTGCCCGCCCCACCGGCTGAGGCTCTGTGGGGCCTGCGCGGTAGGTGAGCCTGTCCCTCTGGGAAATCCCACTTCCCTCCCTTTGAGTCTCAAGGAACATCTTGCACCCCCGATTCTGACTCAGCGTCTGCTTCTGCAGAGCCCCGCCTGGGACTTGCTGGGAGGGGTGCGGTCCCCAGGCAGCTCCTGGGGAGGAGAAGCCAGCAGATGCTCAGCTGAGAGGCTGAACTTTTAATAAATATTTGTTTATTTAGTTTTGTAGCACTAGGGATTGAACCCTGGCCTTCCTCATTGAGCTGCACAGTCAGCCTCTTTTTTTTTTTGCACCGGGAGTCAAACTCAGGACCTTGCGCTTGCCAGGCAGGTGCTGTTCCTCTGAGCTGTATCCCCAGCCCCAGCATTTTTTTTTTTGTTTTTTAAGGATCTCACTAAGTCATTAAATTGGCTGGGCTCAAAATTTCGATCCTGTGCCTCATCCTGGGACTGCAGGCAGGTGCCACCCCGCCCTTGTGGCTTATTTTGATTTCAAGCACATCAGGTCTTCTATTCCTCTCCTTTAGATAACCTGCCCTGGAGCATTCTGGGCCCTTTGTGGTTCCCTAGGACCTCCTTAGGATGCTTTTGTTCCATGAGGGACACCAGCTATGCCCGGATAGCTCCTGAATACACTGGTTGGGAGCTCAGCAGAGACCCCAGGCTGAGACCCCGGGCAATCTTTGCAGTTGTCCATGGCATGTGGGAATGGCTAGGTTCTCCCAGTGGGTGAGTGCGGGCAGTGTCTTAGTTATGTTCTTGTTGGGACAGAATACCGGGCATGTGCAATTTAAAAGAGGAAAGGTTTATTTGGGCTCACCTTTTATTTATTTATTTATTTATATTTTTGAGAGGGAGAGAGAGAAAGTCTTGCTACGCAATTCTGGCTGGCCTTGAACTCTGAAGCCCAGGCTGGTTTTGAAGTCCCCGGTGATCCTCCTGCCTCAGCCTCTCAAGTGCTGGGATGGCAGGTTTGTGCTACCACACCCAGCTGGCTCACATTTCACAAATTTCAGCTCCTGTGTGGTCAGTGAGGTAGAATGACATGGCAGAGGGGCGCGGCAGAGGAGAGGTGCTGGTGGCATGGTGAACGGGAAGCAGAGAGAAATCAAGGGAGCACCCAAAGAGGGAGATGACCCGTCCATGTCGCACCCCAGGGACCAACACATCCTGTCTCTCAGTGTGTCAGCAATAAACCTCAAGATCCAGTCACCTTTCAAAAGCCCCACCTAGAATCTCTTGAGGCTTTGGGGGCATCTAGATGTAACCCACAGAAGACGGCGAGAAGAGGGCTGGTGTCACAGACGTCGTGTCTGGATGCAGTGCTCCAGCTGGGGCTGAGGCACGGACTGCAGTCAGTGCAGATGGCTCAGAAAAGAAGGAGCAAGAGACAGGTGGCCCAGATGCTCAACAGCCCAGGAGTTGAGCCCAGGAGTTCAGAGCCAGACTGGACAGTGTAGTGAGACCCCCACCTCTAAAAAAAAAGGAAGGAAGGGAGGGAGGAGGGGAGGAAGTGTAGTTGCTTTTACTAAAGCCAACATGGGGGCCAGGGATATAGCTCAGTGGCAAGGTCCTGATATGGCTCAAATGCAAGGTCCTGAGCTCAATTAACCGTACCAAAAAAAAAAAAAAGAGAGAAAGAACCAACATTTTCCCCCTACAGCATTTTTGCTGGGCTTGGTGGTACATGTCTGTAATCCCAGCACTTGAGAGGCTGAGGAAGGAGCATCACTGCAAGTTCAAGACCAGCCTGGGCTACAAAGTGAGCTTAAGGCCAGGCTGAACTGCATAGCAAGACCCTGTCTCAAAAAGAAAAAAAAAAAGCCAACATGGTCTAATTCTTTTTTTTTTTTTTTTTTCTGGTACCTGGAATCAAACTCATGAAGTCGTGCTTGCCAGGCAGGCACTGTGCTGCTGAGCTAAATCCCCAGCCCCAACATGGTCTAATTCTATAGATACAAATTTAGTTCCTAGTTTAATCATTACCATGGCTTAAATGAATTCAGCTTTGATTATTTCACCCACAGAGGGATGGACATCTACCTCCAAAATGGGTGCTCCTAGCTGGTATAAGAGTCAATGAGTTACCAGGCGTGGTGGCACATGCCTGTAATCCCAGCACTCGGGAGGCTGAGGCAGGAGGATCATTGCAAGTTCAAGACCAGCCTGGGCTACAAAGTGAGCTCAAGTCCAGCCTGCACTGCATGGCAAGACCCTGTCTCAGAAAGACAAAAAAATAAATAAATAAAAAGAGTCAAAGGAGTCGAATCACTTGGAACCATGCACCCCATATTCTAGGAGCTGAGGTATGTTGGCTGTTGTCACTATTACCAGTGCTGGCTGCTTACAAGAAGGACCCAGGGCCCTGGCCTCCCAGTGTGCTGGGACAGACGTGGCTTCAGCCTATTGTCTCAGTGTAAATGTTACTAGTGCCTCCTTTGCCATCAAATCTCTCCTAGCTTGGATAATTATACCGCCACCCTAACAGGACAGAATTAAATCATTACAATTCTGTGAGCTAGATTTTGCCATCCCAATTTAACAATGTTCAGGAGTAACAATTGTGCCATTTACAGGTTATGAGTCTACTGGAGCCATATTTGCAAGGTGGCCCTTGGGGTTCCTGATGGCAGTCCCACCCTTCCCTTCCAAGGACTCCACCTAACTGGAGGGCAGGCCCAGGAGATCAGCAGCAGCTTCTCAGGGACACCAGGATCCACAACCATGGGGAGGCCTGCACATCAGCCCTGGCCATACAGGCCCCACCAGAGCTATGTAGTCCAGGCTGACCTTGAACTCACTATGTAGCCCAGGTTGGCCTCAAATTCACAGTGATCCTCCTGCCTCAGCCTCCCAAGTGCTGGGATTACAGGCGTGCGCCACCTATACCAGCTTGGAGCCTTTTCTTTTTTTCATTTCACAAATTTAAGAAAATGTTATCTTCCCTTTGGACCTCCTTTTTGTACTTCTACTACACCTAGATTCCTTTTTTTTTGTTGTTTTTGAGACTGGGTCTCACTTATGTAGTTCAGGCTGGCCTTGAATTCATTATGTAGTCTAGGCTGGTCTTAAACTCCTAGAGATCCTCTTACCTCAGCCTCCCAAGTGCTGAGATTGCAGGTGTGCACCACTACACCTGGCCCCAGTCCTTTTTATTTTTTTATTTTGAGGCAGGGTCCTTAAATTACTAAATTGCCCAGTTTGGGCTCAAACTTGGGATCTTCCTGCCTCAGCCTCCCAGAGTACTGGGATTAGAGGTGTAAGCCTCTAACCAACAGCTCACACCCAGGGATATTTTATATCCCTACAAACAAAGTCTGTGAGGCACTAAACAACCTGGGTCGGGGTTTCAGGAGTAAGACACTGTGTGTCAGGTAGGAATACCCAACTTGCCATTCATATGACATTTGCCATATTCTTGCCAAGAATTACCTGGCTATTCTTCTGCTTCCCTAGTGGAATAGAAGCTATGCTTGCCTTGCTTTACCAAGTACAAACTGGGTACCCTGGGTCACCATCAAATGGCACATCAAGGAGGACTGGGCCTGGACTTCTCTGAACTGCAGGACTGGACTGTGCAGAGCAACTGAGGAGAGGGAAGGAATGTCCATGTACATGGCTACGGGGGGTGTCACTCCAGCTCAGAGCACACACTTAGCTTGCTCATGGCCCTGGTTCCACCTCCTGCACACGTAGCATGGTTAGGGGAGGTCCCAGAGGGGTCACGTGTCCACTCAGTCAACAAGCAGGCATCATTTGCTGAGTACAAGTGACCCTCAATATCTGCAGGAGCTGTGCTCCAAGAGCCCCATAAATACCAAAATTCATGGATGCTGAGAAGAAATGGTCTTATGCCCGGTATGCCTATAATCCCAGTACTAGGGAGGCTGAGGCAGGAGGGTCACCATGATGAGTTCAAGGCTAGCCTGGGCTACATAGCGAGACCTTGTCTCAATAAATAAATAACAAACAAATAAAATGAATAAAATGGTGCCAGATTCATATCTAAATTACACAATCCTCCTGTATACTTCATTCTTCTTGGGGTGGGAGGGATTTGAGACAGGGTCTCGTATGTAGTCAAGTTGGTCCTGAGCTCATTGCATAGGCCAGGCTGGCCTCAAACTCATGGCCATCCTCCTACTTCAGCCTGCCGAGTACTGGGATTACAGGCATGTGTTTCCATGCTCTACCTTCCTGTGTACTTTACACAGTCTCTACATTACTTAAAGTACCTAAAAGAGTTAAATGCTGTGTAAACAGCTACACTGTATACTTAGGAAATAAGGACAAGAAACACAAATCTATACAGCATCACAGGACTAACTACATAGTATACCTCAGCAACAATGTAACTTCTGCAAGTGTGTTCTGGGGATTGAATTAAGGGCCTTGCGCATAGTAGGCCAGTGTTCCACCTCTGAACTACATCCCAGCTCAACAACTAAAATTTTTTTTCTATTTTTTTTTTTTTAGACACAGTCTCACTGTGCAGTTCAGGCTGGCCTTGAACTCACTTCGTAGCCCAGGCTAACCTCAAACTCTCAACAATCCTCCTGCCTCAGCCTCCTGTGTGCTGGAATTACAAGTGTGCATCAGCATGCCTGGCTCAATATAACATTTTTTAGAAGTGGTTTGGAGGCTGTAATTAAAAAGGAAAATAAATGTTGGTAAAGATGTGGCAAAATTGCTCAGTAGCACACACCTGTAATCCCAGCACTCTGGAAGCTTCTTGAAAAATCCTTCTGTATTACCCTTAAGGGTCATTGAAGTACCTTGTTCAGCTGTTCCATGATTTGATAGCCAAAGGACTCAAAAAAAAAAACCATCACTGGCAAATCGGGATCTTTGCTGGAAAGAAAAGAAAAAGAATTTAGTGAACACATTGAAGTAGCAAAAAGATCAGGGAAAAGTTTAGGAAACTTCTGGGTGAAACTTCTGTGATTACCTTAATTTCGATGTGGATAGAAATATATCCTGAAGGAGAATCCTTGGTGTGTCAGGTTCTTCTCCAAGGACAGGAAAAACAAGTAACTTTGAAGACTACATTAGAGACAAATACATCACAGAGTTGACTGAGGACACTTTTGAAAGCAATTAAATTTATAACATACAATTGATTTAATCAAAGATGTGGAAGTAAAAGCTTATGGAAGATGCTGGATTATCAGTCCTGGAAACTTAAGTCCTGTTCGTCAACAGAGCAGAGCTCAGAAGCTAATCCAAGAATCTGGCCAGAGGTAGAACCTGAGAAAACGTAGACAAAATTTTGCAGAATGAAACATGACACCTAGTAACTGCACTGTAAGCCAGGGGAGCGGCACCAACCAATGGTGTGGATGTTGATGACCTGGATTGCCAGAGCGCCACTTCCCACAGCCTTAGAATTCACAACATAAAGTACTTCTGAATACCCTTCTGAGGAAGTAATCTACTAATGCAGAAGGCTTGTATGAGCCAGCTTTCACGTTCCTAAGAAGCTTTAATATGTTTCAAAACCATTTGACAAAAAAAAGAAGCATCTGTGAAGTTTCTGAATAAAGAATACTTTGGAAATAAAAAAAAAAAAAAGTAGAAATGGTTTGGAGAAGCCTTGGATGGTTGTGCATGCCTGTAATTCCAGCATTCAAGAGGTTGAGGCAGGAAGATCACCATAAGTTTGAGGCCAACCTAAAATACATAATGAGACCCTGTCTCAAAAAACCAAGAAGCTGGGTGTGGTGGCATATGCTTGCAATCCCAGCACTCTGGAGGCTGAGGCAGGAGGATTGCTGTGAATGTGAGGCCAGTCTGGGACACATAAGCAAGTTCAAGGCCAGCCTGTACTACATAGCAAGATCCTCTCTCAAAAAACAAAGGGGAAAAAAAAAGAAAGAATATAAAAATATATATATAGTTATACCATATATCTATATAAATATATGTATATATGTAAAATTTATATACCATATATACTTTTTGAGAGCATACCTATAACCCAGCACTCTAGGAGGCTGAGGCAGGACGGTCAGAAGTTCGAGCTTAGCCTGGGCAATTTGTAACTTACCAAGACCCTCTTTCAAAATAAAAAGCGCTGAGGATGTAGCTCAGCGCCAAAGCTCAATCCCCAGTACTGAAGTGGGGACAAAAGACCCATGGTTGAATCTGAGGAAGCAGAACTTCGGGTACGCAGGTACCGCTGCACATCGTATGTGCAGGGCAGCGAGGACACAAAGCTAGATGAGCCCGGCCTGGAGGGCCTCAGGTCTGGGCGGAGGTGCCAGGTACACAGGTGGCCGCAGAGCGAGCTCAGCACTGTGTGCTCTCGGCAGCCGAGGATTACTTCTGCTGTGTGTAAACCAGCGCACATTGACTGAGCGCTTTACCGCGTGACAGGCACGACCCCAGGTGTTAAACAGCACACAAGAGGCACTGGGGTGCCCCACAGGGAGGGCACAGCCTGGGCCCTGTTGTGAAGGGCTGGGCCCTCTGGGCCGAGGTTGGATGCGGGGTGCTGGTAGGGAGAAGGAGTTGGAGCCCCAGGCTTTCACCACTCTGTGGGCCTGGGAGGCGGCTTCCATGTTGCCTGTGGATGGAGGCTTCCGCCGCTTTTAGGTGTGAAGGCTCCCTTTCCAAAAGCAGTTTAAACTGGATGTGGTGGCGCACCCCTGTAATCCTAGCACTCAGGAGGCTGAGGCAGGAGACTTGACATGAATTTGAGGCCAGCCTGGGATACATAGTGAGTTCAAGACCAGCATGCAAGCTGCGCGTACTCTCCTGCCCGGTCTCCTGTCACTACTCTGAGGGCACAGAGGGCGCTGCTCTGCAATCTCTGAGGAGCCTGGCCCAAGGCACACCTGGCACATGATGAGGGGAGATAGATGCCCACCAGTCACCCCGTGGCTCCTGGACTTCGCTGAGCCTGAGAGCCTGTGTCCTGCTGGGGAGGGCGAGAAGCCAGGGTCCCAGGTCTGCTCTGTCCTGCACCACGACCCTCTCTCTCTTGCCCACCTGGTTTCAAAGTCCTGCTGGTGACTTTTCCTGGGCTGGGAGAGGCAGTGGCCAGGCTCATCGGCCTCGCCTCCCTACTCTGGTCTCTTCCTGTGTGGCCTGACGCTCAGCCAGGGCTGTCCTCAGGGGAGGCCTAACGTCTGGGGCTCGGATTTGAACCCCTGGTTTAGGTGCTAAAAGGAACCAGCACCTGTGCCTTAACAGGTGGGTGAGACTGCTGGACCCGGGGGCCTTATTTTTAGCTCTGGCTCTTCTCAAGTTTGCTTTGTGGGAACCAAAGTGTCTCTGGCCCTCCTGAGGCTGTGACAGTGACCGATGAGGGCCCCCGGGGCATTGGTGCATAGGGGGAGCAAAGGCCTCCTCCACCAGGCGCCAGGCGGGAGAGCTGGCAGCGGGCTCTTTGCACCCCGGGAGCTGTTACTCTAGAACCTGATAACCACCTGTGCTGGGCCGAAGATTACAGGCAGCTGTTTGAAGTCCAGAGAGATAATGGCTTCAGAGGGAAGCCATTCCTGACTCGTAACAGTGGGATGCACTAGGGGCAGGGGCTCGGCGGCCTAGCCCGTTTGCCTCTGTCCAGGGTTAAAATATTTCTCAAGCTCCTACTGTGTGCTGTTTTATGCATCGGAGAAACAACTGTGAATAAAACAAGACTCACAGTCTGGTGATAGCTATTTGGGAGGATGAGGCAGGAAGATCACATGTTTGAGGTTAGCTTAGGCAATTTAGCAAAACCTTGCTTCAAAATAAAGATTATTAAAAATAGGGCTGGAGATGTAGCTCAGCACTCCCTGGGTTCAATCCCCACAGCCACCCAGAGGGAAAAAAAAACCCAAAAATGCCCTTGTGGGACTAATATTCTACTTGGGGAGACTGACAATTCAATATAATTAAAAAGGGCACAGATCATCGTGTCAGGGACTGATATAAACAAAAAGCCGAGGCAGGGTTGGGGCGGAGCCGGGGTGTGGTTGGCTTTAAGTTGGGGTCGTCGCAGGAGTGCTGAGTGTTCCTCAACCTGAGCCGGATGTCTGGAAGAAGAGGCTTGGGGACCCGCTGCTGGGGGCCCAGACTGCAGCTGGTTGATTTTGGGGATCTGTGCAGGGCAGAGGGAGAGGAACAGCTGGTCTGCGGGGAGGCGGCGTACAGGGCCTTTGCTGGCCTGCAGTCTTAATTTCTAAGGGGGAAATGTGGCCGGGGTCCCATCACCTGAGCTCACTGCATTTCTGGGGTCGGGCCTGCGGCTGCACCTGAGCCTGCTCTAGACTCAGTCCACACTCGCAGTCTGCACAACCTCGCCCAGGACTCGCTTTCTGACGCACGTGCGGTGGGCCTGGTTTTGATGTTATCTCCAGCCCTGCATGGAACATCTGCATTTACTCATTTCCCTATCCTGTCTGTCTATCCTGTCTGTCGGCTCTTATCAGGCCATCTGCCTGACTGCAGGCTTCCTCAGGGACAGATGACTGGGTTTGCCAGTCAGTTGAATTAAGCCTGATCCTTTCAAAAGGTCAAAAAACCCCGTGGGTACCCAGGGTAAGAGCAGGGATCCACACCCATAGCTTCAGGAGTTAACTTCTAGCCTCAGCTGTACAGTTAAACCCCACTGTGAGCCTGTTTCCCCATCTGTAAAACAATATGCATGGAGCAAGATCTGTGACTTGCAAATGACTTTAAAATACCAGTCGGATCTATGGATCTCTCCAGAACAATGACTGGGGGCAGGACATTTTGCATGTGATTGGAGAAGTGGGGTTACAGATCCTCAGGCTTCTCCCAGCTCTGATAATGGGATTTTCTTTTCTTTTTTTTTTTTTTTTGTCTTTTGAGACAGGGTCTCGCTTGCAGTTCAGGCTGACCTTGAGCTCACTTTGTAGCCCAGGCTGGCCTGGAACTGGAAACGATCCTCCTGCCCCAGCCTCCCAAGTGCTGGGATTACAGGTGTGTGCCACCACGCCTGGCTTGGATTTTCTGTGTCCCAATTGTACTAGTGGCCCGAGGACGCTCCAACTCTCTGGAGAGAGACTAGTTTTAATCCCTGAGTGGGTGATTTAGGATTTATGGTCAGGTTCTGAAAATGTCCCTCAGCCTCCAGGCCTGGACTTGGGGGTGTGAGAGAGAAGGGGTGGCCCCTGGATGAGGCCAGCTGCTCCCACACGGGGAGGTGGCGCGGCCATCAGGTGAGCGGTGGGGAAAAGGGGGGGAGGGGCTGTGCCACAGGCGCACGGGGGAGCTGCAGGCAGCACAGGAACACGGCGCCTGCTCTGGGCGGACTCTGCTGGCACTCAGGGAACGGGGAGAGCCTCCCCGCTGAGTCGGGAGGTTGTCTCCCCAACCCCACGATGGCGGATCTGGAAGATGGGGGTGGCCTCGGGCCAAAGCGGGCACCACCCTTTCTCACCAGGCAGTGCCTCTCTGCACGTCCACACCCAGTGCCTCGCTGGCAGGGGCTGTAACCTGAGCCCTGGGTGCCCGGAAGGGGGAGACCCACCCTGTCCTCTCCGGTCGTCTCCCCAGCTCCCTTCACACCCCAAGGCTCTCTCAGCACCAGCCCAGGGAAGAAAGGGTGCTCGCTGGCTAGCAGTGGGCTCAGGACCGCCGAGGATTAGGGCCCCATGACAGGTTGTCAGTGTCTCGGAGGACAGCTCCCTAATCCCCAGCACCCCGAGCTGCAGTGCCCTTTGATCCAGCTTCTGAAAGCTTGATTAGAGATACAGCCCATGTTTCCATAAAGGGGAGAATGATTGTTTCCAACCCAGACAAAGGACTCTTTGTGCAGCACTGGGACCCGCGCCTCAGGAGCCTCTGTGGGGGAGAGGAGGACGCCCCGCCCGCTGGGCAGGGCCCCGCCGGGCAGGGCAGCTGCCTGGCTCCCACCGAGCTGCTAGGAAGGGCAAAGGGCACTTGTGACGACTGTTCCCCGCCCAGGGCCACACCCAGCTCCGAGGGGGGGGAGGGGCTCCCTTCGGAATTGCTCCAGCCTTGAGCTCCAAATGCAGTCCTTATCCCTGTTAGGACCGACCTTGGGGTACCCCACCCCCGCCCCCGCCCCGGCTTTGCAGGAAGGGCCAACTCCTCATTGCCAGGTATCCACAGCTGAGCACACAGGTATCGGGCAGGGAGAGGAATCTGGAGCTCAGAGGGGGAGTCGGAGCTTGAGCACGGGGGAGCAGGAATGAAGAGGCCCAGGGAGGAGGAGGAGGAGGCAGCTGGGGATGCAACACCATCTGCCCAGCCAGGAGCCGCCCTGTCCTGAGCCTGCTGGCCTGGGGCCTGGCCACCCAGCACCTCAGATTTGCAAAGCAAAGCAGGCTGTTGTGGAGGTGACAGTTTCGCTCCCCTCGCAGAGCGAGGGAGAGGCCTCTGGACTGGTGGGGCTTGAGCCCAACCCCAGCTACACTCACTGCACATTTGTTAGTTAAATCCAGCCCTGGGCTCCCTACCAGGGCATCCATCTGCACACACAGGTGAGGAGCCTGGGAGCAGCCCCAGACTGGGGACCCTGAGCAATTCAGGGGGACCAGAGCCAGGCTTGGTTCTCTCCTCTGGAGACTGAATGGCTATTATTTATTTATCTTTTTTATTTTTTGTTTTTTTCCAGTACCGGAAATCGAACTCACAACCTTGCACTTGCCAGGCAGGTGCTGTGCCACTGAGCTAAATCCCCAACCCCTTATTTATTTATCTTTTGAGACAGGGTCTCGCTGTATAGCCCAGTCTGGCCTTGAATTCTATAGTGATCTTCAGCCTCCTGCCTCAGCCTCCCGAGTGCTGGGATTACAGGCCCAAGCCACCTTGCACAGCTGGAATGGCTCATTTTGAGGGAAGGAGAAAGTGTTAAATGCCCACTCCACAAACATTGCCATTACCATCTCTTCCTGATAGTGCAAAGCCCAATTTATTTCTCACCTTGGTGGGGAAGATGCTAGCTCCCCAGGGTAAGAATTGGAAGTTTGGTTTAAAATTGGCCTTTCAATCCTAGCACTCAAGAGGCTGAGGCAAGAGGATCACCATGAGTTTGAGGCCAGCCTGGGCTACATAATAAATTTAAAGGACACCCTGTACTACATAGTAGCGAGACCCTGCCTCAAAAATAAAATAAAATAAAGTAGGCCTAGCTGGGCATAGTAGTGTATGCCTGTAATCCCAGCACTAGGGAGGCTGAGAAAGGAGGATTGCTGTGGGTTCGAGGCTAGTGTGGGATACATAATAAGTTCAAGACCAGCTTGGGCTACATAGAAAGACCCCATCTCAAAAAACAAAACAACAACAAATGAGCCTTTCTTGCAAGGTTGGGTGGTGCATGCCTGGGAGGCTGAGACAGGAAGATCACAGTTTCAAGTCCAGCCTGGGCAATTTATCGACTTAGCAAGGCCATCTCAAAATAAAAAAGGGGGTTGGGGATATAACTCAGTGTGAAAGCTCAATCCCCGGTAACACATATACCACACTCTACTAAGATGAATAGATATAAAAAAAAAAGACAGGCCTTCATGTGGCTGGTGCTTTGATTAAGATTGGGTGAAGATCATGATATAACTGGGATCAGAGCAAACAGCTAGGGATTCATTCCAAAACCACTGAGGGGGGCAACAGCTAGGGAGGCCACCTTGAAAAGGCTGGTGGGCCTTGGGAAGTTCCTGAGGCAAATGCTCAACTCTTTTGTTCTTTTGTCTATTTGAGACAGGGTCTTGGTACCCGGTTCAGGCTGGCCTTGAGCCCACTTTGTAGCCCAGGCTGGCCTGGAACTCACAACGATCCTCCTGCCTCAGCCTCCCGAGTGCTGGGATTACAGGCATGCACCACCACGCCCGGCTGTGCTTAAATTTTTTTTTTTTGGTACCAGGACTCGAACTCATGATCCCAGTCTTGCCAGGCAAGCGCTTATGCTGCTGAGCTACATCCCCGGCCCCTGTGCTCCAATCTTGTACCTGAGCAGCAGTCCACCCAGATGCTGGTCATGCCAGAGTCAGGTCGTGTAAATGGAGCCATGGGCTGTGGCCCGGGTAGGTAGCTGGTGGCTTTTGTGTGCTTCGGGGTGTGAAGGGAGCTGCTCTCAGTGTGGGCTGGGGAGCCTGTGGCCCCACTGAACACTGCTCAGGATGTGGGGTGGACGAGGAGCAACCTTTGCTTGGAGAATGAGGGAGAAGAACTCCATCTGACCCCAGGAGAGGCCAAGGCCTGGGCCCGTGGGCTGGAAACCAGGCCTGCGGGTGCCAAACAGGTCCCTGCCCATGGAAACGGGCTCTGTTGACTTTGGCAGCCCCACCCCAAGCCTCTCCTAACCCAGAAGGGTTTGAAACTGACACTAGGCCCCGCGGGGGGGCTGGAGATCTTCCCAGGCCCGTCCTGAGCAGGCCGGCTGCGGCAGGCTGGTGTCCGGACAGAGGAGGGTGGCTGCTCCGGGGTCCCTGGCAGCTGTGCCCAGCGGGCAGAGGCCAGGGCTGGGGACATCAGGATTGGATGAATGGCCCCTTGGTTTCAGACTGAAAACTCAGGGAGAGAAGGCAGGGGAGAGAATAGAAGGGTTTGGCAGATGAACTACCAACCTGTGGACTCCCACAGTGTGCCTACAAGGAGCAGAAATCTAGGTATGCACTAACTGGTCATTGCAGCTCATCGCTTGTAGATAAACACCAGGCATGAAGCGCTTCCACGACTGAACAGACAGACGGCAAGGAACTCACACGCATGTAATCTCAGCACTTGGGAGGCTGAGGCAGGAGCGTCATAAGTTCAAGGCCAGCCTCAACTGCACAGTGAGACTCTGTCTCAAAGAAAAAAAAAAAGGACTTCAAAGTTAAGGCTGCCCCACCTGGCAGCATCCTCTTGGGCTGTAGAGACATCTCAGGGTTCCTGCCAAAGCCAAGAGGGAGACTCAGGTCAAGCCTGCCCTGGCTGAAGGGAGGAAGAGAAAAAGACACTGAAAAGGGGCTCAGATCAGACTTCGAGGCAGAGAGCGTGCGCGTGCGCGTGCGCGTGCGCGAGCATCCGTGGCTTTCTGTTTGCGGTGCCGGCTCTGGAACCAGGGCCTGGCGCCCTCTAAACCAGCGCTTTAACTGCTGAGCTCCGCCCCCAGCCCCTGACGCCCCAGTCTGTACAAGTTGCGGTCGTATCTCCCGGCCCTTGGCAGAAAGAGACTGGAGCAGGTAGAACAGAGACCTAGGGAGCCAGAGGAGGGCAGAGAAGAGGGGGAGGGCGCGGGTGCGGAGCTGGACTGCGTCTTCCCGCGGAGAGAGGGGAACGGGGAGATAGGACAGCGGCGAGGGCGGAGCCTGACACGGCTGAGACAGATCTTTGTTCTCTGGGCCAGCTGCCACTTCTTGTCACCATGGAGATGGGTGGCCTAGGACTGTATGTCCAGCTTCTTCTGCCCATGGGCAGCCTTCTGGCCAAGATTCAGCTTTGTCACAGGCCGAGGGACATGGGGACTGGATGGGTCAGAAGGGCTGGATGCGGGTCAGGCAGGGCCTTAGGTCCCTGGGGCTCTAGGATTTGAAGGGTTTCTGTTTGGTGACAGTGACTTTTTATTTTCAGGCTTCTGGACTGAAAGAAGTAAAATGCCTAAATCCCTGAGAGTGGTGCGGCAGGCTTGAGATCTCAGAACTCAGGAGGCTGAGGCCGGAGGATCACCAAGACTTCGAGAGTTCGAGGCCAGCCGGGACTACATAGTGAGACCCTGTCTCAAAAACAAACAAACAAAAAACGATAAAAATATAACCCCTACATCCTACAAGAAGAGCCAGATTTGTTTTGTTTTGTTTTAGTACTGGTGATTGAACTCAGGGCTTTTGCCTGCCCGAAATATCTAGGTTTTTTTTTTTTTTTTTTTTTGAGACAGAGTCTTGCTAAATGGCAAAGTTGCCCAGGCTGGGCTCAAATTTGTGATCCTCCTGCCTCAGCCTCCCAGAGTTCTGGGATTACAGGCATAAATCACCACACCTGGTTTATTTTTTCTCTTTTGAGGCAGAATCTTACTAAATTGCCTAGAATGGCCTAAAATGTGGTGTTACAGGCAAGTGGCAAGGTAAATATTCTTGTACTCATTTCACAAATGAAACAGTCCCAGAAATGTCAGGTGTTTTTCTCACTGGATTTAGGGTTCCTTTCAAGGCCATCAGTCCTAGCTGCATGTGGTGACACCCAAGTGTAATGCCAGCACTCTGGAAGGCTGAGGCAGGAGGATTCCAAATTTAAACCAAGCCTAGGCAATTTAGTGAGACCCTGTCTCAGAATTTAAAAAAAATTGAAAGGGGTTGGGATTTGACTTGATGTGAAGACACTAGATTCAACCTTCGGGACTGCAACAGCAAAGCAAACAATCACCAAGAGGTCAGTCCTGATGGGGCTGAGCCTTGAACATTGTGCTCTGGAAGAAGGCCACACCCAGAAGGTCAGATGTCAGGTAAAGGTCAGCTCCTTAGAGCGTGAGCTCACTTCTCAGCAGCCTGAGCCCTCAAGCTCCTGCCCTTTGCAAATTCCTGATCTAAGAGCTGGGTACAGGGCACTGCCTGTGGTCCCAGCCGCTAGGGGATGAGGCAGGGGATCCAGCCCAGGAGCTGGCGATTGTCCTGTTTCAGAAAAGAAGAAAAAGAAAAAGGAAAGATAAAAGAACATTCTTAGCCGGGCGTGGTGACACACGCCTGTAATCTCAGCACTTGGGAGGCTGCCAGGAGGATCGTTGCAAGTTTGAAACCAGCCTGGGCTATAGAGTGAGTTCAAGACCAGCCTGAACTGCATAGCGAGACCCTGTCTCAAAAAAAGAGAAATAAATAAATAAAAGAACATTCTTCGTTGAGTGTGATGGTACACACCTGTGGTCCCAACACCTGGGAGGCTGAGGCAGGAGGACTGCCACAAGTTTAAGACCAGTCTGGGCAACATAGTGAGTTCAAGGCCAGCTTAAACTACACAGCAGGACCCTGTCACAAAAAAACAAACGAACAAACAAACAGAAAAAAAAAAAAAAAAGAAAATTCTTGCTCTAGGGCTGAGGGAGTAGCTCAGTAGTAGAGCTTGTACTTAGCATGTGGGAGAAGCTGGATTCAATTCCAGGCACCACTAAATAAATGAATAACTAAATCCTCTTGCTTTCTTTCATTTGTTTGTTTGTTTTTTGTTTTTTGTTTTTTTTTTGAGACAGAGCCTCATTCTATTTTTTTTTGGTTTTTCTCCGGTACCGGGAACCGAACTCA